CACATGCAACTTTGATCGGGATGAAAGTCTCTGTATAAATACTAGGTGTTCTTGTTTTTAATTAGTCATTATTATCAGGTACTCTGATTCATTGTTACAGAAACTTAATTTCTGGTTGTATTATCTCCTCTGGTGCAGTTCTTTTAAAATAATGTCTTGGACATTAAGTTATGCTGTTCCCAAGCCACTCATAATCTAAGGGGATCTCAGATTTTTCTGCCAGCTTGTTTTCCCCTCCTACATCTTTCTGAAATAAAAAATGAAGACGGAAAAAGGAAGCAATGTGTAGTACCTCTGATCCTACTTTCTGCTGCAGTGACAAGGTGGAGGCATGACATATGAAAAACACCCCCAAGGCTCAGATTATGATTTAGTTAATTTATATGGCATTGTTTCATCAGTTCCAGAGAGAACATTCATTTTGTTCAGGTTCTGGGAAAACTGGGTGGTGGTGGGAGTGCAGTTTTAAGTCAGGAGACCAGGATTGTAGCACAGATGCCCCCACTAACTAGTTGTCTAATCCTTAACAAGTGACTTGGTCTTTCCAGGCTCATTTTCCTCATCTGTCAAGTCAGATGAAGGTTATGGAATAGATGATCTCTAAAAATTCTTCCATCTCTACAGTTCTATTCTGGGTCTGTATGCACCTGCAGACATCGATGTGGGATCGGGAAGCGTACCAGGGAGGGAGGCACATTTAGTCAAGAGCATAAAACACTTTTACCTGGAGCAGCCCTGTGTCCTCATGTGTTGTGTAGACAGGCTTGTCTCAGATTATCCAAATAAATGACTGGATTCTCTCCTTTCATTGCCAATGGACACACAGTCCAAATAAATGACTGGATTCTCTCCTTTCATTGCCAATGGACACACAGTCCAAATAAATGACTGGATTCTCTCCTTTCACTGCCAATGGACACACAGCTTTAGTTTTTTCTGGGAGCAACAGCTGCTTTTCTGAAATTTCCATCCCAGGGCTTCCGTCTCCACTCTGTCCTCTCAGAAACCTGTCATGGTTTTTCTGGATGGATGCCCATAGAATTTTAATCCAGTCACAAAAAAGTACTATGCATAACATAAAGCAAAACCAGCTTATGGGTTGTCTGTTTCTTTACTGAATTTGTTTACTTCAAGGGCTTGGAACATAGAAGGGCATCGTTCAACAGCACCATTTGTGCTGCCAGCCTAGAGCCATGGCCAGGACCAATGAGTTCCTTTAGTTAAGGATTTGTCCTTGAAGATGTGGAGAGAAGGCCTATATGATTTAGTGGCCACCCTGGGTCCTGCCCCAGGTCCTGACACTTCCTGACTCTTGGTAACTGGCTGCTTAATTAAACTGGTTGTTTCTCCATAATGCCCCATTTTTTTCCCTTCCCCAATAAGTATTTGCATTTCCAGTAAGGGGTGGAGGGGGGAACTCCCTGTCCTCAGGAAACTTAGCAATTTAAGCTCTCCTAATTTAAGCTAACTTTAAAAGGTGTAGTTCTCCAACTTTAACTTGTGGAAAATTCCCCTGGGGAGGCAGCCAGAAACGCACGTTCCAGGACCTTGCTCGTAGACGTTCATTCAGTAGGTTTGGAGCCAATAAAACTGCATTTTATTCAGTCCAGGGCAGCTTGATGTAGAAGGGTGATAGACTACTAAGAAAGGCTCATGGCTAGAAATAAACAGCATTATCAGAAACAAGAATTTCATGTTTGCATTTGTATTTCTTGCTGTCTGGATGAAATTCATGTAAGTTGATGCCTAATACTCAGGATTCCTGGCATTAACATTAAGGTCCTTGCTCTGTATCTCTTTGACACACATCACCAACACTGGCAGATTCTGAAAACTTGAAACGCATATTAGTGCCTCCCTGGCCGAGAGGTTAAAGAAATGAGTTTATGCACCTGGTAACTGACTGCTCAGTAAATAGTTGCCGCTTATAACAAAACATGCCACTATTATCCCCTACAAGACGGGGGAGGGCAAGAGTGTCCGAGGCCCAGCTTCAAATCGGTATCTGGGATTTGGCCACAGTTGGGCGTATCCTCTGGTGCGGGGGGAAACGTGGCCATGGATCTCCCGGGCCACCACCCCGGGACAGCCACCAGGGCGTCCTTACTACAGGCAGGAGTTCGTTGCTTGGCTGGTTCACTCTCCTAGACCTAAAATAAGAGGCGGTGGGTTGGGCGTTTTTATTTTTAAAGACTTTGCTCTGGGCCTTTGACCCGGCACCGCAGGTATAAGCATGGATTTTGCGGGCCGTGAAGCTGGGTGCGGCCGGGGAGGATCCCTGCGATCTTGGACTCTCCGCGGCCGGGAGGTCTCCGGAGGGAATAAAGAGGCCCCCAATCCTCCTGGGGACCCGGAGCGGTTGGAGTGGGACCCCTGGCCAGAGCCAGCTGTCGGAGAGTTCGAGGCCGCACCCTCCAGGTGGCGGGGAAGGGTCGGTGATCAGGGATTTGGGGCCTCACATCTCCCCGCCCGCGGAGGCCCCAGTAACTGACTCTGGTTGAGCGCTGCAGGTAAACAAGGGCCCCATCCACCGCCCAAATCCTCAACAGGAGGACCCGAATCCCAGGGACCAGCACTGGCAACGCGGTAGCAGGAGACCCCGCGGCGGCGCCCCGCGTTGGCTCGGCCAGCGAGGGAGTGAAGCCCTCGGGGCCTCGGAGCGCCAACCTGGGCGTTTGAGCTTTGCGGCAAGTCACTGGAGAGTTGGCTGGATTTTGTCCCAAGCCCACGCCACATCTTCAGGACAGGACGGCCGCAAGGACCCCTCCCCCCCCTCCACTCCCACCCGTCCCTACCGGACGGCCCCGGGAAAGCCGGGACTCAAAGGCACTTTCCACCCCGAGGCCCAGTTGGCGTGGGATTTGGAGGGCCGCCGCCCGTGCGGAGGAGGACTGACGGACCACCGGTCCGCTGGGGACCCGGGAAGCCCGCCGCCCTGCGGAGAGTAGCTCGGGACAATCGCGTGCTCACTCACACACACACACACACACACACACACCCCAACCAATGAAATAAAGTAAAAGCCCAAGGTCTGCCTCCGTGGACAGAGACGCCCCCCGGAACCGGACCAAGCGTGGGTTCTCCCTGGGGGCCAGAGGGGCTGGGGGAGGAAGGGGGAGGGGGAGAGAGCAAAGGAGCCGGCTGAGGGCCCCTCATCTTCTCCGCCCCCGATGCTTGCTGGAGTCCGGTTGGGGGACGGCGGCGGCAGCGGGAGGGAGCGGCGGGCAGAGCCCCTCCGATCCCACCGCACACACTCTTACCCCTTTCCCTCCCCTCCCTCCCTCCCCCTCTCCCCTCCCCCTCTCCCCTCCCCCTCTCCCCTCCCCCTCTCCCCTCCCCCTCTCCCCTCCCCCTCTCCC